TAGTGAAACAAAATCACACACCCTCGTTGGTTGAAATCACTCAGGAGTTCCAAAGATCATCAGGCATTAGTGTTAGCACCAGGACTGTTCATCAAGAGTTAAAAAACCTGGGATTCCATGGTTGTGCAGCCGCTCACAAGCCGAACATCACTCTCCAGAATGTGAAGCGTTGATTGCAATGGTGCAAAGCTCACCATCATTGGACTGTGGACATGTGGAAAAGTGTTCTTTGGAGTGATGAATCTCGCTTTACAATCTGGCAGTCCAATGGAGGCATCTGGGTTTGGTGGATTCCCAGCGAGTGCTTCTTAAATGACTGTATTGTATCGACTGTAAAGTTTGGTGGTGGCAGCATCGTGTTGTGGGGGTGTTTTTCATGGTTTGGCCTGGGTCCCTTAGTTCCTGTGGTTGGAAACATGAACTCTAAGATGTATGTGGACATTCTGGACAATGCTGCTCTCCCAACTCTATGGCAATATTTTGGGGAAGGTCCATTTCTCTTCCAGCAGGATAACTGCTCCATTCACACATCAAGACTTGCGCAGGCATGGTTTGATGAAATGGGTGTTCAAAAACTGGACTGGCCTTCTCAGATCCCCGATCTAAATCCCATAGAACACCTTTGGTACAAATTAGGACGCAGATTATGTAGCCAGCCACATCAACCATCCTCACTGCCAGCACTCACTTCAGCTGTGATGAATGCCTGAAAGTCAATTCCGATGGCCACCTATCAAAAACTAGTGGAAAGTCTCCCCAGACATGTGCAGGCTGTCATCGATGCGAAAGGAGGACCAACATCATATTAATATATGCCTCAGGACCATGGGCATAGCCAGAGTTTTGTTATGGGGGGGCCTAGTGGAGGCCAACCTGACACAAAATTGAATTATTTCAAATTATTGTTCATTATTGGGCACCGAGCAAGCCGTTCACCTTTTTTTTAGTATTCAAAACTTTTATTTTAGCTTTAGGTGTTTATAAATCGACTCAACACTTTTTCGGCTGTGATTTCCTGGGGGGCACCAGGTTCCCTGGGAGGGGCCGTGCCCACCCAGGCTCCCCCCTCGCTACGCCCATGCTCAGGACTCTCCAAGTCCATACCACTGGGTGTCCGGATACTTTTGGCCAGATAGTGTATTCATCAAATACTATATACATATATATTTATTTCACTATTTAATTAATTTTTAGACTAACTGCACAAAGTAACTTAAAAAATATATTTTAAATTGAATAAATTCATTCCTAAAACTCGGTGACTTCAGAAAAATGTTCTGTGAGTAACCAAAGCTCTATTTCCAGTTTGATATGAAATGAAGTTTGTCATATTTTCATTTAATTTTTGATTTTATAATTTTTCTAAGCTGAGATGATAAATAATAACCAAGATAACCTAAATTGCAAAAGGGATTAGATTGTTCTTATACCATCAGCAATGTAAGAAACAGATAATTTCAATTGTAATAGTTATCTCATAGAATGCAAGAAATGAGATTCATAACTACATTTTAGATAAATAAAAATTCTATTTTTCATAGTTTTTGATTACATAGGCACATCCCTCCCTATTATTACTCCAGTTAATAATGTTTCTATTCTAAGTCTAATAATTTCACATTTTAATAAATTCTTATTACTTTTTAAAATTATGTTTAGACATTTCATTAAATATTATAAAAAAAACATACTTGTAACTTTTGTTCATTTTCATGGTGTCCAAGAATTTCTCCACTGTCCAACATATATACATATGAAATTATTGAAATGATGATTGACAGTGATAGTGATCTTTTATGTAAAAAGAGAAGTGTATATTTTACAATAAAAATAATAAAAAAAGATAATTAACAATAATAATGTTATTTATTAAAATACCTTTCATTTCTTTTATCAATAAGATATAGAAGATTGCGATAAGTATCTTCGGCTGACATTGCCAAATTTTGAAGTAATAATTGTTCAGTACTTTGAATTTCATCCAAAATAGTAGAATTTGAATGTTGTATTGTTTGAACAATTGCTAAAGCACATTGTAATAATCCAATATTATCATTTAGAGCTCTAAAATTATTCCTAAAAAAAGAAAAAAATACTTTAAAAATGTAGCTATAAATTAATGTTGACAAGCTTTTGTATTGTAGTTTAAACACTAATATATATATTTTAATTTATAAGAATAACAAAGAATAAAACAACGTTATAGAAAAATAATTCATAAGTTTTCTCAATAGAAAAACTTTGCCAGACAATGTTTGTTGACATTTTCCAAAATCTTACAAAAAAGTAGTATATATAAAGCTCTAATTATGATCTGTTTTTCATTAAAATGCTATATTTAATCACAGAAACATGCTAAAATTAAATTTTATGTTCAAAATCATTGACTAATATGAAAAGATGAAAATTGATAAATCTATAGTCAGTAATAAAATTAATAAACACTAATATATACCAGGATGATATTACATTTAAAATTTACAAGAAAATTTTACAAGAAGAAAACACAGGACTTGTTCATCTTTTTTCATTTTATGTCCTTTTCACACTTCAGGAACAAATATTCTCACTGTGGAGTTAATCTTTTATTGTAGACATTTATTAGTTTTATTAATGTCAATATACAGCATGTCCGAGAAAGATCTTTATCATTCTAAACATCAATAACAAAAATACTAATAGGTGAAATGAAATGCAGTTTGCGGCAAAAGAATGAAGAAATCTAAGAGTTTTTTCTGGTATCAATTGCCAAACTTTTTGCCATGATGCTGTAATCAGTCCATTCTTCTTTGTGGAGAAGATTGTTAACATTAATGTTTACCAGGATCTTCTTGAGTTTTATGTTATTCCACAATTGGAACATTTGCAGCCAAATGTTTTATTTCAGCAGGATGGTGCTCCACCTCACTGGACATTTTCTGTACATGTTTCCTGAATGGATTGGTCGTGGAGGACCCATACCTTGGCCTCTGCGATCGCCCAACATAACTCCACTGGATTTCTTTTTTTTGGTATACACACAATAATATACTATGTATATACACTAATATATTTATTTAAAATAAAGTAAATTTCTTCAGACACTCTGACTATTTTATTTAAAAGATTCAATAAAAGAAAGGTTCAAACAAAGTCAAACAAGAAAATATCTTTCTTTTGTCATCTCATTTTTTCAATATTAAATCATGCTTTGACTTACTACTATTTTTATACCATCTTATAGAAAATTTACTTTTAATACTATAAATTCACTTAATTTAAAAAGTTTTTATTAGTCATGTTTTAATTTCCATATTATTATAATTTATTTTACCTAAATAATTTTACATGTTTCTCAATCTGATCAGCAGTTATTCTTCTTGTAAGTATTCCTGATTCAATATCAAATCCATATTTTGTAGCTTTTTCTACAACAAGTCTATTAACATGCATTAAACAATCCTATAATTAAAAAAGTTTTAGTAAATTTAATTTTCATTTATAATATATAAAAACACTATTTTAAAAGATTTAATTTATTTACTAATTAAAATTTAAAAAAAAATGATAAATGTAGAGTCTTTTTTGATAGCAAAACTATTAACTATAAATAAAAAAGTAAGCAAAAGTTTATTCATTTGATATAATAGTCTATAAATGTTTTGTCATTCTCAATTAATTTGTAAAATTGTATAAGACACAGATAATTGTTTAAAAAGAGGAAATTTTCTTTTTAAATTTTGATTCAATATCAAGATTAAATTGTCATTTTCAATGAAACTAATAATATAAAAGCTGTCGTCTGTGTGCATTTGTGTGTGTGAATTCCTTATAACTACTGCAATCTTTGCCCAATCCTGATGAAATTTTGATTATATTCGTTTTATGTTCTGATGAAAAGTATAGGCTACTTATTTTGCAGAAATATTAGCTATAGAATAAACGTTTTATTGAATTCGGATTAATGATGGCACTTACATTGCAGTGATGTCAGTGACCACATGACGTTTCATGCTTGATGAAGGAATTTCCGTTAATTTGCATTTTTTAAATATTTTGGCAAATGGTGTATTTTAAATCTACTTCATAAAATTTAAACTAAAAAAGATAGCTTCATCATCATGTCACTTCTATAACAAAGTTTTTAAAAATATTTCCATAGTGACCACGTGACATTCTATTATCCAATTGAAAGTAACAATCTAAATAACAGGCTTAAAAAGCAAGTTATTTAGAAAGTTTTATCACTAATCTAATCATCTTTGTTTTTATTAATATGGAATTAAGAAATGCCTTTGTCAGGGCTGCAGAAACATGATCTCAACGTCAATCATCAAAACAATTTTAAGGTGTCTATTACTAAAGGAAGACATCATGGAAATCATTTAAAAAACAATAGAGTGGTCTAACTGAGTTACAGTCTTTCATTTGCAGCAATAACATGACGTCAATGGATGGAAGGGTGGCTACCAAAGTGAAGGGCGGTCAAGCACTTCCTACCGCTGTAGACACTTTAGTTCAAATTTCCAGCTATAGGTTGCTTATATCAAAACATTCAAAATTTCATCCTCTACAATCTCCAAATTTTTAAAATGTCATTCCAATACACCCTGGATGTATGTATGTATGTATGTATGTATGTATGTATGTATATAGAAATTTATTCAAATACGCAGCATGCAGCAGTCATCACATATATTAATATATATTGAAAACAAAAACCAAATTAAGTTATGTTTTATTCGGTTATCCTTTTATTATTTTCAATTAAATTATTAAAGTGTTTAGTCTAAAAATGGCAGTACTAACATCTTATAATCTCTAATTATTAACATTTATACTTTTAAATTTAAATCAATTTAGAAGTTTCTGGAAGAAAAAGTTTACCTAAAGTGTATTCAAAATTCATAATTTCTGAACAAGTAAATTATCTGTCATGTTATCCAGATATTTGATTTTTATTAAGTATATTCAGGCTTTGGTTTGTATTTTACATATAAAAGTAATAAAACTACTAATGTAAAAAATATTAATGCTAAAATTACCTTCTGCTTTTTCAATAAAAGGTAATCTAAAACAGTTGTAGAAATTTCACTTTCATCAGCCAGACAACCTGGTGCAAGAAGAGAAATGCCAAATACCTGACCACTAAAAATAGTAAAATTTATGCTTGATAAATTTCTTAATTATTACTCTTAAATATCTTAATAAAGATTTGCAATACATAATACAAGCTAGTGAACATTAAAGAACACAAAACACATTGGCAAAGAATTAATGGCAATGCTATTTATTTATATTTAATGTTTTTATTAAAAATTATCTGAGATAATATAAGATTCCATATGCCTGATGTTTCCCAGACAGGTTTTCTACATCATAACAATCATCCAGAAAAATTTTGGTCATGTTTGTGATTTATTTTTTTTTATAACCAAAACAAATGTTACCATTTACAGGTGAATATGCTTCCACCAGAAACAAAATATAAAAAATTGCAAACCAATTTTGCATTGTGAGACATACAATGTTTTAATACTTTCCATAAAGATGAACAGCCAAAGTATTCTCATTCTTATTAAACAGCTCATGATTCTTTGAAAGTAAGCATAAAATTGCTATGTAGAACTTATCACACAAAGAACAGAAGAAAGAACAAAAAGCAATGAAATATCAGGTCATGAATGTTTAACAAGTTAGTACAATACAATGTGAAGCATTAAAAATCTGGACATCAAAATTCCAGATTTGGCTGTTAAAAAATGGATATTAATTGATATTAATCCTTTTCAATGGTCATTTCATTGTTCATCTTCTTTCAACCTATGTTCTTTCATCCTTGCATTGTTAATGTTCAAACATTCATTCATTCATTCAGAATTTTTTAATTTTGAAATTATAATTAGTGTATATTTTGTTTAAATATAATGATTCTGTAAATTATGTTTTGAATTTTTGTAAGTGCTCCTACATTTGTTGTGAAATACTGGCTTGAATTTAGAACATGATTTACAATGTATCTAGAGTTTATAGTGCTTAAAATGCTAATTTACACTTATATTTGAAAATCTGAATGGGTCCAGCCACAATTAGTCCAGATTTTTGACACTTCATTGTATTTTAAATAATTTTAAAAAATTATGAAAACAAAATGGATAAAAATTCAATTAGAACTGTTCAACAATGTTTTGAACATTACAGTTCAGCATTTTTGTGTTTCTTTACCATCAATAGACATACAATAGATATTTTAATTTTTAAAATCTATAACTACATATTAATGTATTCTATTCATATAGAAAAACTTAAAAGTTTTCTGCAACTCTTTACACATTCAATTTACAAAATGTTCTTTAAGCTAATATTATCTTTTCACTCCTGTAGTTAATTGTTTTGAATTTCACTTATAATAATATAAATATAATGTGTTCTAGATTTGTTATAGTTTTTTAAGTTTGATTATCCTAGATATTTTTAGATTTTTATTACTTGATTCTAATTCAATATTTGAAAATATAACAACTCTAGACTAAACAGAATTTATATCTAAAAACAGAAAATTAGGATAATTGAGAATAATGGAAGAAATATAAATATAGTAGACTTCCCTATAACGCAGGTTCATATAATGTGGATTCGTATATGGTGGCAAAAAAATTGCGACCGTATTCGTATAAAGACGCTAAAAGAGACTCGTAAAATGCGGTAAAACGTCATCGTCGACTCATGTCACGACAAAATTGGTCGAATCTGGACCAATAGTAGACAAGCAGTCAAACTACTTATATGCTACAGAGAGTTTAGGTGGGTAAGTTGAGTTTACTATCGTCTGTACAGTATATAAATTAGGTACTGTAAGTCTAATACAGTACTGTAATTTTACACATTTCTTGTGAAAAAACATTTCTTATTTAACGACCATAAAAATTATTTCTATTAATGATGTCTCCAAAGTTCAATGAATTTTTCGCAGAAAAATAACTTATCAGAAAATGTGTCCACCATTTGGTGCGCTGCTCCGCGATGAAAACAAGCAATGGCGTCGTCGAATGGTGCACACTCAATAAGTAATTCTACAATTTTTTGTTTATAGCATAGTTTATATGGATTATTCCCAAAAAATTATACGTGTTTTGGAAATGTTGAGCCAAATTAGTCTAAAATCGATTAATTTTATGGAAGAAAACCTTTCAAACAGCCATAGTCTGTAAACTGCACACGTGCCGGGCTGTGATTGGCTCATGTATTTAAGGATTCATACAACGCGAAATTTGTATAAAGTGGAATGTATCTACTGCGTTATAGAGGGGGAGTCGACTGTATATAGGACATAGTAGTGATAAAATTTTCTGTTGTTATAAATATAATTAAACAAAAATTTATGAATGAAAACCTGTTTATATAAATGTATATAAAATTAAATTTACTTTACGTATTCATAGGTATAGAGAGCTTTTTCAATATTATTTAGTTTTAATTATTATTATTTTATAAAATATTAATTAAATTATACTTATACATAGTTTTATTTATAAAATATTAATTTAATTATTTAAAACAGAAAAAAGAAATGATAAAAATATGAAAAACTTTATTACCTGAAAGATGAAGACAATGCATCCATATCGACTGCAACATCACATGTGTGTCCTGGTAAATGTGGAAGTATTCTTATTATTCTATCTAACATAGAATGGCAGTTTTGACTCAATGGACCAGCAAGATCCAATGTTCTGTCAATTAATAACAATGAGACTTTTCTGCCTATAGTCTAAAATAATTTTAAATTAAAAGATATTAATTCATGATAAATATTAAAAAACTATAATATATATAAGGAAATTACTTTTCTTCTGTTTTTGGCTGATGCTAACATTTCCAATTCCATACCTAAAATATTACTAAAATTTCCTAAACTGAAAATATCTTCTTTCATTTGAATTTGATCAAATAAATAATCAAAATAATGTGCCAGGGCCTAAAATTAGAATTTTTATATGTTAAAAAATTATTATTACATAAAAACTAAAATTATATTAAAAACCTCATTTGTTCATGTATATAAGAAGTATAACAAATGAACTTCTTAGCAAATACTGGAGGAAATATAATTCATCACACAAAAAATCTTCTGAAAATCCAGTAATACGTGTTTACAAAACAGCGAACATTTTCGACTCTATCAGGGTCTTCCTCAGGCTACAGTTATGAGGAATTCAAATAAATGTGAGACGGAACAAGAAACCAAATGAATGCAATTCAAACTTTAGAACAGCAATGTTAATATTAAAAATAGAACATTACACTCGTGTAGAAATGACATTTAAGCACGTGTAAAATTAAGCCTGCGAAACGTTGAATGCTGGTGAAATACATACAAATTAAAGCTAATTATGGGGAGGTGTTCCCTCATAACAAAATTTCCATGCGTGAGAGAGAGATGCTGACCACGTCCTTAGAGTTAATGCACGTGTTATGTAATCCACTTTATATATTTCGAGGGTCTTTATGTTTCTGAGCTGATCTGTGGAGTGTGATAGCCTGATCAGACGGGCATTTTGTAGATCAGCCGTGATTCCAGGTTCGGTGGCAACAGTTCAAAGGGTGGTGTATGGCTATTATTATCAATGTCGTATTTGTGCTCACGAAGGTGTTTATGAAGGGAGCATTTGGTTGAGCCCACATAGACCAAACGACTATTAAATCTGTCATCCCAGAAAGGGACAGAATATACCCTGGTGCGTATTTCAAGTCAAGCGTATCCTTTCCGTTGCGGAGTAAGCTGTAAACGGATCTTGGCCTATTGTAAGCTATTTTAGTTTTAGTGATGGAGGAAATTTCTCTGTATATTGTGTGCAGATGGTGGTTGTACCTTATGATTTTTCTTGTACGGTTGTTATCCCGAGAATCCTAGGGGATGTCAGGAGTGTTGTGTGTGTTCCTCTGTGTGTAAGCGCGAGCAATATTGTATGCTAAGTTCCTATTATATCCATGTTGTGTGGCCATTTCCTTCCATTTCGGATATGTCTTAGCTCAGCTATGGTGTCTTTATAATTAGAATGGTGCGTGAACGCCCTCTTAGTTAAGACCCGAAAAGCCGCGATCTTGTATGGGTAAGGATCCTCTTAGTTAGCGGGGATGAACAGTGGTACATAGTACTTTTTGTAAAAGAGTTTGAATGTGATCTCATTATCTATTAATTGAATGTCCAAGTCAAGAATCAACCAAGTCAATTCAAAGTCTTTTACAAAAAGTACTATGTACCACTGTTCATCCCCGCTAACTAAGAGGATCCTTACCCATACAAGATCGCGGCTTTTCGGGTCTTAACTAAGAGGGCGTTCACGCACCATTCTAATTATAAAGACACCATAGCTGAGCTAAGACATATCCGAAATGGAAGGAAATGGCCACACAACATGGATATAATAGGAACTTAGCATACAATATTGCTCGCGCTTACACACAGAGGAACACACACAACACTCCTGACATCCCCTAGGATTCTCGGGATAACAACCGTACAAGAAAAATCATAAGGTACAACCACCATCTGCACACAATATACAGAGAAATTTCCTCCATCACTAAAACTAAAATAGCTTACAATAGGCCAAGATCCGTTTACAGCTTACTCCGCAACGGAAAGGATACGCTTGACTTGAAATACGCACCAGGGTATATTCTGTCCCTTTCTGGGATGACAGATTTAATAGTCGTTTGGTCTATGTGGGCTCAACCAAATGCTCCCTTCATAAACACCTTCGTGAGCACAAATACGACATTGATAATAATAGCCATACACCACCCTTTGAACTGTTGCCACCGAACCTGGAATCACGGCTGATCTACAAAATGCCCGTCTGATCAGGCTATCACACTCCACAGATCAGCTCAGAAACATAAAGACCCTCGAAATATATAAAGTGGATTACATAACACGTGCATTAACTCTAAGGACGTGGTCAGCATCTCTCTCTCACGCATGGAAATTTTGTTATGAGGGAACACCTCCCCATAATTAGCTTTAATTTGTATGTATTTCACCAGCATTCAACGTTTCGCAGGCTTAATTTTACACGTGCTTAAATGTCATTTCTACACGAGTGTAATGTTCTATTTTTAATATTAACATTGCTGTTCTAAAGTTTGAATTGCATTCATTTGGTTTCTTGTTCCGTCTCACATTTATTTGAATTCCTCATAACTGTAGCCTGAGGAAGACCCTGATAGAGTCGAAAATGTTCGCTGTTTTGTAAACACGTATTACTGGATTTTCAGAAGATTTTTTGTGTGATGAAGTAAGAAGTATATTTAAATTATTACTATTTTTTCAAATTTATGTACAGAATACTTTACATCAAAGCTTTATTAAATTTATTTAAGCTACCTGGAGTGAATATATTTTGAAACTGTTTTAATTAAGCTGACTTTCAATACTTAAGAATTCATATAAAATTAAATATATTAAATATATACAGAATATGATTAAAATNGGTTGTACCTTATGATTTTTCTTGTACGGTTGTTATCCCGAGAATCCTAGGGGATGTCAGGAGTGTTGTGTGTGTTCCTCTGTGTGTAAGCGCGAGCAATATTGTATGCTAAGTTCCTATTATATCCATGTTGTGTGGCCATTTCCTTCCATTTCGGATATGTCTTAGCTCAGCTATGGTGTCTTTATAATTAGAATGGTGCGTGAACGCCCTCTTAGTTAAGACCCGAAAAGCCGCGATCTTGTATGGGTAAGGATCCTCTTAGTTAGCGGGGATGAACAGTGGTACGTAGTACTTTTTGTAAAAGAGTTTGAATGTGATCTCATTATCTATTAATTAAATGTCCAAGTCAAGAATCAACCAAGTCAATTCAAACTCTTTTACAAAAAGTACTATGTACCACTGTTCATCCCCGCTAACTAAGAGGATCCTTACCCATACAAGATCGCGGCTTTTCGGGTCTTAACTAAGAGGGCGTTCACGCACCATTCTAATTATAAAGACACCATAGCTGAGCTAAGACATATCCGAAATGGAAGGAAATGGCCACACAACATGGATATAATAGGAACTTAGCATACAATATTGCTCGCGCTTACACACAGAGGAACACACACAACACTCCTGACATCCCCTAGGATTCTCGGGATAACAACCGTACAAGAAAAATCATAAGGTACAACCACCATCTGCACACAATATACAGAGAAATTTCCTCCATCACTAAAACTAAAATAGCTTACAATAGGCCAAGATCCGTTTACAGCTTACTCCGCAACGGAAAGGATACGCTTGACTTGAAATACGCACCAGGGTATATTCTGTCCCTTTCTGGGATGACAGATTTAATAGTCGTTTGGTCTATGTGGGCTCAACCAAATGCTCCCTTCATAAACACCTTCGTGAGCACAAATACGACATTGATAATAATAGCCATACACCACCCTTTGAACTGTTGCCACCGAACCTGGAATCACGGCTGATCTACAAAATGCCCGTCTGATCAGGCTATCACACTCCACAGATCAGCTCAGAAACATAAAGACCCTCGAAATATATAAAGTGGATTACATAACACGTGCATTAACTCTAAGGACGTGGTCAGCATCTCTCTCTCACGCATGGAAATTTTGTTATGAGGGAACACCTCCCCATAATTAGCTTTAATTTGTATGTATTTCACCAGCATTCAACGTTTCGCAGGCTTAATTTTACACGTGCTTAAATGTCATTTCTACACGAGTGTAATGTTCTATTTTTAATATTAACATTGCTGTTCTAAAGTTTGAATTGCATTCATTTGGTTTCTTGTTCCGTCTCACATTTATTTGAATTCCTCATAACTGTAGCCTGAGGAAGACCCTGATAGAGTCGAAAATGTTCGCTGTTTTGTAAACACGTATTACTGGATTTTCAGAAGATTTTTTGTGTGATGAAGTAAGAAGTATATTTAAATTATTACTATTTTTTCAAATTTATGTACAGAATACTTTACATCAAAGCTTTATTAAATTTATTTAAGCTACCTGGAGTGAATATATTTTGAAACTGTTTTAATTAAGCTGACTTTCAATACTTAAGAATTCACATAAAATTAAATATATTAAATATATACAGAATATGATTAAAATGCTATGTGTACTTTCTAAAACTGTAGCAATTAAATAAAAATATTTACAAAAAATTTAAAAATTATATATAACAGAATTTAAATATAAAAAACAAATTTTCAACTGGAACTGAACCCAGTACCACAAGCATCCCATGTGATCATTATGCAGCCAACTTGAAAAAACTCTCTTCTGTAAAAGAATTAATAGTGTTCAGAAAAAATTTTAATACTATTTTTTCAAGATGTAAATAGCACGTCAAGCAGCTTTGGTATAGTGTAAGTATTAGTGAATACAACATGCTCACAAATTGAAATTAGTGATTACAATTCACATTCCAGCCCTTTCTTCGAAAACTGTACTTCTGGGCTCTTGTCCATCTGGCCTCACCCTTACTAATTGGTCTGATGTCTTCTTTAAAACAAAAGGGATAGAACCGGATTAGTTAGAAAAACTAGCAGGATAGGGGATATAGGGATATTGAACGATGAGACAGACATCTTTCGAGACGGAATTTATGGAAGAGTCACATGCAGTGGTGATATTCAGCGAGTTCGCACAGGTTCAGCTGAACCCGTTGTTAACATTTTCAAAGTTTTCCGAACCTTGTTAAACACACGTAACATTTCTCAGTGATTTTGTTTCTTTTAAAAAATATATTAAAATATACGTATTATACTCTGTAACACTACTAAACTAGAGCCTTATACCCCGTTCGCCTTGGTGCGACCTCCCTCGACCATTTCAATCTTGACTGAAACGAGATTCAATTGCAGTTGACTCAAGAGAGTTCTTGAAACTAGATCCAGCATAAGAGAGATCCCACAATCCCATGCGTGTGAGAAAATACAAGATGGCTGCGGAACATGTGTCGTAAAAAATATATACAAAATAAACCATTTTGAACACTCTTTTTTATTATTTATCAAAAAAATATAGTTCTGGCATAAACAATGTTAAATTTTAACTGACTTAATTTTGCGAACGCATCTTTTTT